CAGGTGGAGCATCCCCCTCCAGAAGCCGCTCCACAGCATCCCCAGCCCTGGGGCCAGGCCAACACCAGCACAACCAGAGGGACCACTATTTTTTTTTTAATTTTTTTTTATTAGCTACAGTCAAGACGTTCGCGTCTCTTCCCAACATCTCTTCCCAAATAAACCCAACCCCTTTGGACTGCAGGGCACGGGATAAACTCGGATCCCCAACCCAGAGGGGATGGGGATTGACACCGAAGTATGAGAAGGCACCAGCCAGTCTTTAAACTTCAGCCCCTGCGTATGCCCTCCATCGCTTTTAGCAAGGCTGTAACAGCTGCAATAGGGTTTCATCTGATCAAACCTTAATTATCTTTATAAGATACATTGCCCAGCGTGGTGCTGCACAGTTTCACCATAATTAATTCCCACCTACTGCAATCAAAAATAAATGATCTAAGGCCACCGGGAAAGGTAGTTTACTGGTTTTATGTTGAACCATCCATGTGTAGCAACTCATTCCCAGCGAGAAACTGCAATTCCACTGCCCCCAGTATCCCACCTTCCTCTTCCTCTGCAAACAGCAGGGCAGAAATAGCACCTCCACAACCCAGAAACCCAGCAGCAAGTCACCCACCTTTCACAATGAGCTCAGCGAAGTTGGAGACGCCCGAGCCGCGACTGGACTGGGTGACGCAGCGGTACAGGTCCTGCTCCTCCTTGGACACCTCGTCCAGCTGGAAGGTGGCCAGGAAGCGCCGGTGGCTGATGTGCTTCACAGAGGCAGCGGGGACCACCTCACCGCTCTGCCTCTGCCCCCCAGGGAGAGACAAGACATTACCAGGAGGCACGGCATGACATCCAGAGCCACCAAACACACCCCCAAATGATGCCTGCTTAAAAGAGGGGGGGAGGATATTACCCTTCTCCCCCCTGCTCGGCGGTGTCTTCTCCCAAAGGGGAGGCACAGAGGCATTGCAGAAGCAATGCATGGGGTTGACGGTGGAGATGCCAGTACCGCCGTTGCTCACCTGCATGAGGAACCGCTCGGCCTCGGCAGCCTTGCCAGCGGCCACACACTGGAAGGTGGCATTCTGCCCCGCGTTGACCTCCACGTCGCCCAGGCGGGAGAAATGAGGCGCTTTCGCTGCCAAGGGATGCAAGCAAGAGGTGACGAAGCGGCTGAGGTCCGAGGGGACCCGCGGTAGTGTTGCTGCAAAAATCCCACCACAGTCCCAAAACCCACCCAGGATGTCAGGGTTGGGGTCCAGCTCTGGACAGGCTTGATCCCCATCCTCACAGCCCAGCACAGAGTCAGGAATTTGTTCCCGTCCCCATACAACCAGCCGTGTCCCAGGGAGGGATGCGGCATCCCACTGTCACCAGATGCAGGCTATGGGGTTGATAGAGGGGGGACAGGTCTCCTACCCCAGCCTGGAAAAAATAGGGGGTGAAGCCCAACAGCCAACACGTTGGGACAGCCTGGGATTTCAGGTCCCCACCAGCCCATGTGGCCCCTCTCGATGGGGATGCTGAGGCCACATGTTCAGCCTGCACTTCTCCAAGGTTTTGTAAAAACTCAGTGGTGGAGAATGAAAAAAGGAGCCCCAGAAGCACCCAGGAGATGGAGCCCCACCAGCCCAGGTGACAACAGGACACCCAGGTGCCACCAGGCTGCCCCCTGGCATTCAGGACCATCCCAATGGGCACCAGCTCTGACCCCTGCTGCCCAGCCCAGCTCAGCAGCACCCACCACCCCGCTGTCCTTCGGGGTCCCCCACCCTGGGGTCCCATCCCGTGACACTCACAGCACGGATAATTCAAGAGCAAAATATCATCCAAGCCAAGATAGCCCCTGCGCTCACTGGAGACCACCGCCTCGAAGAGGACCTGCGGCACCAAACAGAGGGGTCACCCGGTGGCGGGGGGGTCCGGGTCACACAAGGCAGGGGGGGGTCCCCCGGGGCTCACCTGGTACTCGCTGGGCCAGAACAAGCTGACGGCCAACTCCGCCTGGTGCCACTGGTGGCCGTGGGAGCCGGAGGCGTTCCAGACAGCGCTGCCCACCGGGCCCCCCGTCACCCGGACATAGGCGCTGAGGGTGCCGGGGCTGTGGCCATCCCGGCTGTACATGAAGTAGCTGAACTGGAGGCAGTGGGTGTCATTCTCGCTCAGCGCCTGGAAGAGCAGGTGAGCCCTCTGGCCCGGAGCGTGCTGCGAGGAGTTCACCATCAGGTAGGACCCTGCGACGGGAGGGAGAAGGGGGGAGAGTGGGGAGTAATCCCCCTGTTCCGCATCTCCCGAGCTTTGCCGGCAGGGATGGAGAAGGAGGAGGATGCAAGGTGGCAGAGATGCCCATGACCTGGCAACGATGCTCGGGTCCTGCTGGGTACCGGTCCATGCCAGCCCGCAGGGACGCGCAGCACAGGCACCAGGGACCAAGGATGGAGTCGAGTCTGGCGCCCATTTGGGCAGCAGCAGGACACAGAAATGGGACCTGGCCGCTGGACGAGGAGGGAAGGATCAGACCCCCTGCCTCCGGGACAAGCTGCTTACAGCCGCAGTCCCCCGGGGTCGGCGATGGCTTCGATGCCAGCGCAGACCCTCCGCCTGCTTTCCTTCAACGCTCACAGCTTCGGCTGCGTCAACACCGCCCTCCCCAGCCGGGCCCCAGCCGTTTAATTTCCATTCCCATTGCCTCGTATCATTTACCACGCAGTTGTCGCCGAGTTTAAACTGTGCTCAGCAGGCGCTCGCAGGGGGGAAAAAAGTGCTTGTCGGCTTAACGAGCAGCCGCACCGCGGCTCTCCGGGAT